CTGCGCCCACGTCCCCACGATCCCCCCGTCTCCCGCATGCATTTACCCCACCGTGAACCGTCGAGGGGATGACAACCACCCCCTCTGGCGCAGTAAATCCGCCTGGTTGCCGAGGCGCGGTAGTGGCGGGCCCGGCCCGGTGTCACGTCCCATCCGGCGTGCGGGGTGGCAGGCTTGCCAGGCCGCACGCGCCGCGTGGCGCGTTCGTGGCGGGCCGCGACCTGGGAAGCTTAACAGGCACACCACCCGTTTCCCTCCTGGAGGTTCAAAATCAACCGTGTAGCTCCGCCTGGAGGAGGCCGGCTGGAGCGGTCGGCTGGCCACCAGGCGGACCGACATTTTTTCCAGAGCTCATGGAAGGGAGAAGCCGCTGAGACCTTGCGGCCCCTCGACCACGATGCATCAACGGCTTCGGGGACTACTGTCGGAGTAATGGGCCACGGGTAGGCTCACCCGAGTCCCAAGATTTACCAAGACTTTGGGCCAGCCCCGCCTAGCTGGGCCCCAAGCCAAAGCTCCGCCCTCTGGGGCTGGCTAGCTCAGTGGCCGGCTGCCAGAGGGAAGATGACTCCAGACTACGGCGCTCCGGGTGGCCAGTTCCTGGCAGTCGCCCTCCAAAGAGGGCGGCAACAGGCAGGCGGCAGTCCTACGACTGCAGCATGGCCGAGCCCCCTACGAGAGTACAAGACGGAGCATGGCTATAGTAAGGTGCATCGCCTCCGATGCTCAGGACGAGCATGGCTACAGTGCTCCGTACAGATGGAGATCTCCGCACGGCGGGGCATTGTGCCATGTCTCCTCTGACGGTTCTCCGGGAAGGCGGAGTCCTGTTCCCCACGACGGCCTGTCGGTACGGCCTGCCAGAGGCAGGCCCTACTGGGCAGTGACCTCAGAGAAGGCGGAGAAAGCTCGACCAAGTGGATGCAAGAGAGGCCGGCCTCCAGCAAGCGGCCGTCCCTTGTCCCGAGGCATGCATGCTATTAAGCTGATGAGACCAGGTGTGGCTACAGTAGCCCCCCACTAGGCGGCGGGACTGTAGCCACGCAAAGGTGACCAAGCACTCATCACCGACGACATGGCTACAGTGAGCAGCCACCCACTAGTCGGCTGGGCCCCACCAGGCGGCGGGCCCCAGCGGTCGGCGGAGAAGCTGGAGGCTGGAGACACTGACAGCCGGGCCGAGCAGCCGGCCAGATTACCATTGTACCCCTGGGGGGTAGGCCTATATAAACCCCCCAGGGCACCCATGCAAAGGGGTCGACCCCATTAGCACTAGCCACCCCATAGAGCAGGAAGATAGCTGAGCCCTGCCTCTCTCTGCCTCCAGCACACAGCTCGAGGAGCACCATTGTATCACTTGTGCATGAGTGATCATGCGGAGGCCCCATAGAGCAGGACTAGGGGTGTTATCTCCTAGGAGAGCCCCGAACCTGGGTAAAGTCCGTCGGCGTTCGTGTCTACGCCTTGTCCCGCTTTCAGGCACTGGTGACGTTCTACTCGCTCCCACCATGATAAGCCATCCATTGGCATATGTCGCACCCAACCCCCAATAGAACTCTTCTATGATTTTCCTTGTCTCCCCACCAAAAATCTCAAATCAGTTTCTCATATTGGTCACAGAAAGCTACACTCATTTTAAACATACTCATGGACACTTCTAAATTTGTGAACAAATATTTTAAAATTAGAACAATTTCGGAATTCAAACATTTTTTAAAAAGAACAAATTAATTGAAAACCAGAACATTTTTCATATTTGCGAACAATTTTTTTCAAAAACAATACATAATTGAAAACCTGAATATTTTTTATAATCCCATACTTTTTCAAAAGCAAATACTTTATGAAAACATGAACATTTTTTAAAATTTGCGAACAATTTTGTAAAAATAGGAACATTTTTTAACACCCGAACATTTTATGAACACTTATGAAAAGTTTGGAAAAAAGCATTCGCAAACATTTTTTTCAAAAAAAGAACATTTTTTTAAAATCACAAACATTTTTTGTATTTATGAACAATTTTTGGAAAACGACCATTTTTCAATTTCAAACATTTTTTAAAGGCAATATCATTTTTCAAAATGTGAGAACATTTTTCAAAATTGAACTTAGTTTAAAAAGATAAAATAAGATTGAAAAGAAAAAGAAGAAAAAAGAAAAAGAAAACGAAAAAAGGAAACAAAAAAAGAAAAACGAAAAAAACAAAAAACCGGTAATAAAGAAAAACCCGGTTCAGGGAACCTTCTAGATTTTTTCCCTCAGAAACGATGGGTTTTTCTTTATTACCGGTTTTTCTTTATTACCGGTAATAGATTTTTTCCCGCAAGACCGGCTGGGTACTGCGCTGTCTGTCTACGCAAAAACTAGGCTGGCCCATCGCGTCGCTGCTTGGTCGCTCCCTGTGCGAAGTGCCGGCAGTTTGACGCAGAGAGCGTCAAATAGGATATTCTAGGGGAGGGGAGGGGAAAGAAAGAATGGTTGTGGGTTGAGTGAGTCGTGGAGTCCAATTGGGTTTATTGTGGGCTATGCCGAGTCAGGTTGGGGTTCGATGCGTTGCGGAACTTCGGGCCCAGATAGATTTTTTCCCTCAGAAACAAAATATATTTTTCTTTGAACGAAAACGAAAAAAATGTCAGCGTTAGGGGACCACTGTGTTTGAAAGCTAAGTGTTATGAACCATAATATTATGAATCATAGTACCACCAAGATGTAATATTTTTGCAGTATTTTTAAAAAGAGGTCTTGACCTCTTTTTTCTTAATTGAACTGAGAAAAAAATGTGACTTTTAGATTCTGTAGCAGTAGTAGTCATTTTTTTTTTGCATGGTAGTAGTAGTAGTCATTGGCGAATATTGATTACCAGTGTTTTGAAAATACTGTGATGGCAAACTAGGCCTGAGTACACAATTTCGGAGTTCTACATACTCGAACACACCCGCTATACCGGGCCTACTATATAACCAATGATAGGCATCCCTCAAAAAACAAAAACAAAACAATGGTAGGCGCGCACCTTTTTTTTAGAACGAAGGCTTCAGAGGAGCCCGGCTTTAAATTAACAAAGCCATCAACCGGCCAGGAATTACACAAGGCCCCCAATACAACCAACTCGGAACAAAAAGGAAAAGCTACAGCCGATACAGAGTGTTGCCCAGCAGCTTACAAGCAGCAAAGACTACAAGCCCTATACAAAAATCCTAAAGAAAGCTCTAGCTTGTAGTCGACGGAGTCCTCCAAGTGAACTTGACCCAGAAGAGCGATCAGAGAAGAACATCAGACGGCGCCTGTGCCGAATGACAAAGGACCGCACCCTCATCAACCCAGGAAGGTGGACACCGAAAACATGCCGCTGTTCTCCAAATCCGAAGGGGACCCCTGCCCCTCGCCTTGGCTCGAAAGGCGCCGGACCGCCGGAAGATGGAATTGCTCACCCTAGAGCAAAGAACGGACACGGTTCCGGCCACCAAGGGAGATACTTAGCACGACTTGTCGCTGCACGAAGGAAACCGAGGATATCCACACCGAGGCTCACTGATACAAGCACGAAGAGGAAAAACTGCACAAAGGAGCTGTCACTGAACAAACATACATCGGAAAGAGATGGAGCACCACAATTGGAATAAGCACAGACCTGCAGAAATCAGCCATGTTCGTGTCATTGCATCGAGCAGTTGCTAGTGAGGACCCCTATCCCCTCCCTGCCCAAGGCAATGACGCCAATCAAGCAGAAGCTGACCGGCAACCGAACAACTCAAGGAATGACGAGCTGGACTAATTCAGAAACAGAGCACCATGTTCCATCTCCCTCGCCGAAGACGCAGCGACCACGATGCCCCACTGCATGCTCCCACCTTGCCCAAGACGGCACCTTCAAGAAGGAGGCGACGCACAATTTGTCAGATTGCATGATGTGTTCAGACTGTAATAGCCAGTCATTTGGTTCCTCTCTGCTTGTAAAGATTCACATCTGACAGATGTGGTCAGGAGTATGGCGCTGATATGAATGTTAGCAACTAACTGAATAAAGAGAGAATATAAGTGTCAATTGAATGCATTTTGTCAGTAACTAACTGCCGGGTTCAGGTCAGAGCACGTCGGCCGGAAGGACAGCGCGTCGACAGCGCCATTCTGGTAATCCAACCAGCTCAGCTCGCCCGCCATGGGCATCTTCCATTGGATGTTGCGGGGAGGGAGGATCCACATTTCAATGGCGATCCACATCCGCAATCGGTTGATTTGTTAGAAACGGAAGGGGGAGGATGATAGTGCAGCTCCTTGGTGAATACTGTGAGCGACCTTGTGCCGTCCGTAGCATGGCGACGTCGGCGACGAGGGACTCGAGGAAGGGCATGGGGAAAGGTGGGAATTTTAGGGATGAGGAAAGGGAACAGGGAAGCTGCGTGGGGGAGCTGCGCAGCGCGGCGTCGTGGGGCGGCAAGGCGTCGTCGGAGTATCTCATAATGAAATCTGAAAAATAAAAGGAAGAGAGCCAGCAATACCTCAGTTGTTAATACGTACTCCACAACATGAGTAGTTTACGATTAAAGTTCCCGTTTTGTAACTAACTAAACCATGACTGAATTTGAGCATTTAACTCTGGCTGCTGGTTGAATCAACGGAAGCATTTGCTGAATTGCATATCACTATGTTAGTACTGAATATTTAAGTTACAATCAAGTAGTACTGGTGTGGTGTACACGCAAAGCAAGAACGAAAATCATGAGTCTAATGGCAACGATGGCCACTTTTATTGGAGCTTCAGACAACAAGAATAACAGCTTCGGGACTCCATTCCAGTCGAGCCAGCCGCACTAGTAATTAAGTTGAACCGTTTCCCTAAACAGAGAGAATGTCAGCCCGTTAGGAAGCTTCCTGAGGATATGGAGAAACTACATATATTCACGAAGAAAACCAATAGACCTGATTGTAGACAGCATGAACTGTTTGAATTTCGTAATAATAGAAGTAGCAATACCTCCTGTTATTACTTGATTTCTTCATCCAACAATAAACCTGGGATGGTTGGGATGGAGACTTATTTCATTCCTTATGGCAACTTCTGCAGCCTCGACTTCACAATATGTGGCATCCCGGTTCTGAAGAAGAACTCGTACATCTTTCAGATACGGGAGGTGCTCAATACCTAAGTAGAACCCATAGGCCTTTGCCACTGATACGGACAACCACAGCTCAAGCTGCTCGAGCTTTGGCAGTGCCCCTTCCTCAAACAGAAGGGTCCCGGCACCTTCATCAAAAGGTTCATAAACGAGCTCCTTCAAACATCCGAATCCTTTGCCTGGCAAAACAAGCCTGTCTTTATGGACCGTGTTGGTATAAAGCTTCAGAGAAAGTAATGCAGGCAGCTCTCCAAGTATGCCAAGAACCTCCTCTGTTATTACACTTAAATTAATTTCTAGGTATGCCAGACTGGTGAGTGCTGGAGTAATCCACTTTGGCAGTTTTGATAAACAGTAATGGGTGCTGCCCATCTCAAATCTTTGGAGGCAAGATGGAAGAGGAGACCAGGAATCTAATAACTCGAATGGATATGAATAACCACCATCTATACACACGGACTGGAGTTTGTAGCTGCCAAGCTTGCATAGTGAAGAATGAAACATCTCTGCATGAATCTTGTACTCTTGAGATTCTTCATCTTTCATCGTGAACCATACATGGAGTACCTTCAAATTGATCAGGCTCCCTAGCTCCTTCACTGCACCTACTGAACTCATGGTAATGTCAAAGCCTGTGATCTCCCTTAAGTTTTTCATATTCCCAATCCCGATTGGTATCTTCGCATGATCCATGTCGCTCAGTAAATGACGTAGTTTCATGAGCTGAACAATTCTGGCCGGCCAGTCTCTGATTTTTGTATCCCTTAAATCTGCGTCTCTAGATCACGTAGCATCACAACTACAGATGGCAACTCCCGTATGTCTGTTTCCTTAAAGCTTACGTACTTTAGCTGGAACAGCTTTTCCATACCATCCATATCATACTGCGCCACGCCCCGGCAACCTTCAAAATCTAGTACACGTAAAGTTTCAAACTTGGTAAGGCTGGGCAAGTGTTTGATGCATCCTGATGCTGTTATTATAAGAGATCGGACATGGCTTAGATCTCTCTTTGCCAATTCATATGCAAGCTCCTGGTCAATGTCCTGGATCGATAAACGTCGAATAGAACACTGAGGATTTCCCCAAACAGTTTGACTGCCGTTCACCACAGTGATGAAATTTTCTTCAATGGATTTTGAAATGATAAGTTCAAGCATCATGTCACGAACTCGACAGGCCCGCACCTTCCCATCATAGCGAATATCCACTGGCTGGACCAGGCTTTTATTGATAAGCTCGTAAAAATAACTTTCTGCAACCTCTTGATAGCTCCTCCCACGCTCTTCAGAAATAAAGCCTTCCGCAATCCATTGCCTCACCAACCTTTCTCTGTCAATCACATAATCCTCAGGGAAATTACTCAAGTGCAACAAGACAGTCTTGAGGTTTGGTGGAAGATCATTATAGCTCAAGGACAATTTGTTTTTCATTCCCTCTAGACTAGTTTCCATTCAAGTCAGAACCAATTGATCTTTTCACCTTCTCCCACTCTTATTTGACACGTGGTCTGTTAGCTAGTAAACCAGATATACTGATAATTGCCAATGGTAAGCCTCCACACTTTTTCAAGATAGTATTTGAAACTTCAGTAAGCATATCAGGGCAGCGCTCTTCTGAACCAAAAATTCTGTTAAAAAGTAGGCTTTCGGAGTGGAGATCACTTAGAGGTGTCATTTCATAGATCTGGTCATCACGATCTGGACAACAAGACCTTGCTACTTCCAATATGCGTGTCGTACTTATAATTCTGCTTGAAGAATTATTCTCTGGAAAAGCACATTTGATTGCATTCCATGCTAATATAGACCATATATCATCAACAATTACAAGATACCTAAGAAAGTGGAGTAGGAGCGTAAATCGATTAGGATATAGATATAATTTCACTAGAAAAGAAAAACCAATTGTAAAATTCCAATCGGCCTATAAACCATGCAATGATAAGCACCACTGGTGGTGCAATGGTCTTCATTTTGTGCATATCAAAACTACATCCTTAACTAGAATAATGATATTTGCACATAACGCATATTTCGTACTCCCTCCGTTCCTAAATATTTGTCTTTCTAGAGATTTCAACAAGTGACAACATACGGAGCAAAATGAGTGAATCTACACTTTAAAATATGTTTATAAACATATGTATGTGGTAGTCCATTTGAAATCTCTAAGAGACAAATATTTAGGAAAAGACGGAGTAGTAAATAATTAGCAATACCATATATTACCTTTTATCTTGTAATAGTTCTCTCAGCTTTCCAATGGATTTATGTTCATCCCAGCTCTCCATTTCTTTTGTGAATTCATCCTTGCAAGACATATGTGAGATTAAATCCTTGATGATTTTTTTTTTGTATCTGGCTTTTGTGAGACTGACACAAAAGCATGGCAGTCAAAACGCTCTTGAATCTTGCGATATACTTCATTCGCCAGTGTTGTCTTTCCCAATCCACCGAACCCAACAATCGACAACACCTTGCGATGATGATTGCTTTCTTCTTCCAGCATCCACCTGGCAAGCTCGTCTCTTGGACCATCAATGCCAATAAGGTGTGCCTCCTCAGCAAAAAGAGCGGCCAACCGGGGATCCACGGTGGCTTGGCCCGGGGTGCTAGAAGCAACATCATCCAGCTTGTAGCTAGTCTTGAGCTCTTTCACTTGCTTGATGCGAAGCTTCAGGTCATCGATTTGGTTGGCAATTCCACGCCGAGCTCCGAGCGTCTTTAGACGGCGAGCGGTCTTGCGGAAGAACTCCTTAAAGCCCTTGCCGTCCCCTCCTTTGCCGAGACGGTGAATGAACTTGTCGAAAAGATCCTCTGTATCGTAGGCCAACTCCCTCACCAGTGATACCCATTCCTTCACTTGGTCATCAGGGTCTTCCAGCCTTGCATACTTACTTAGCGCTCCATGAATACCTTTAAACTCAGACTGGAGGGAGCGGATCTCTCGGCAGACCCCTTTCAGGCGGCTGCACTCGCCGGCGATCCTCTGTATCGTAGGCCAACTCCCTCACCAGTGATACCCATTCCTTCACTTGGTCATCAGGGTCTTCCAGCCTTGCATACTTACTTAGCGCTCCATGAATACCTTTAAACTCAGACTGGAGGGAGCGGATCTCTCGGCAGACCCCTTTCAGGCGGCTGCACTCGCCGGCGAGCAAATCAGCCAGCTTCCCCAGCAGAGGGCCCAACGCGCCCAGCGCAGCGGTCACCACAGGCGCCATGGCTCCTGGAGCTCTCCTCTCTCTCAGCACCCCATCTTTCGCTTGTGCTTCTGTTTGTGTGGCGGGCGCTTGGAATGGGGATGGATCACAAGTGCGTGATTGGGGAGCCGGGGTGCGTACGAGTCGCAAGCTTTCTTTGACTCACCCAACGACGACTCGATATAGCTAATAAGCTATACTACAGATCTTTGATTTACGAACGGCTAGCATGTCTCCAGGACGAGATATTTCAGATTGATAGCTATCCTAAGTAGACTGGTCCAAAACGATCGAAACATCAGCCTCAAGCAATAAAGAGCTTCAATCATACCACGCATCTAATGAAGAAAAGTCTAAGGGTCTTTCGAAAATAAATGTCTAATAACATCTCTAGCAGACCTTTTAAAACGCACGAAACTCTAAAATAACCATTAGTTTACAGTTTTAGACCAAAAAATGACCCGAATAGAACCCGTCAATGACCTTGACCTATAAATTCTTTTAAGAAGCGCGATTAAAAACTCCTCCTGATCTGCAAAAACACAGTTTTCACGTCCGCTTCTACGGTGCCGGAAGCAGTTGGCGAGAGGCCAACTGCCATGGAATCATCCGCGTCCGCCGGCCGCATCCGTCGTCCGCGCCGCCCCGCGCGTCCCCGGACACCAGCCGCCCGCCCCGCTCCCCCGGCCGCCGACCCCAACAACCACTCGCCGCTCGCCCCGCCTCCCCGGCCGCCAACCCCAGCCACCGCTCACCGCCCGCTCGATGCCAGCCCCGACCGCTGCATCCGCTCGAATCAATCCGGCCGCTGCGTCCGCTCGAATCGATTCCTAGCAAGCTAGCTTAGCTAGCTCTGTCCGCTCGAATCGATTCAGCTAGCTAGCTCTTGGATTGATTCTGCTAGCTACGGCGACGGTGGCTCCGTATTTGGTTGTTTGGATTGATTTGAGCTAGCAAGCTTCGTGCAAGTCGTTGTGGATGCTGGCGGCTCCGTATTTGGCCGTTTTATGCGCTGTCCTGCCACTTCGTAGGAGCAAGCTAGATGACCGTGGACACGGGCGAGAGGAAGAAAAAGATGTGAAGAAAGAATATAAGCGAATATTCGGTTTTACAGTTTACGTTTAAGGGGTCTGTTCAGCCGCAGCTAGGTGATGAGGACCCCCGTGACGGCAAAGCCGGCGAGGAAGGGCCAGATGCGCCCCCACTCCCGGCGGAAGAACACCGCCCCCAAAAAAAACTTATTCATTTTTCTTTCTTTCTGACGTGTTTGCATATGGGTTTCAATGAAGGATCGGAAGAAAATGAATTGGAAGAATAAGAATCAGAAGAAAAGGTCGCAATGGGAGCCTTTTTACAGTTTTCCAATCAAAAGAATAAGATGGCTTGACATTATGTTTCCTAGAAGGGAACAAAAGAGAGCACACCAGAGGAGGAATCGGACAAAGACGAATCAGAAGAAGAGTGTGGCGCTGATGCACTCCCATGTCTGAGGGAGCGTGGCTTCTTGCATTTTCCGACGCGCCATCTATATTTTCTTGTGGAGCTATCTGTTACCGCAAGATGAAGATGTGCATTCCTTCATGTACAAACAATGATTGCTTCCATTTTTCAGAAATGAAAAAACCATTTATGCTTTCATATTCCTGAATTACAGGCAGTAATCAGATCCTGTACCTGAAATTTAAATCTTATTATTAGCATATGCAGAATACATCCAAGTTGGCAACAACAACTACTACTCGCACATATGGAAGAACCGTATATGTCCAAAATAGTAGACATCTGCAGAAAATAGTATATGGAGAAGTACCGAAAAAGGGTTTCCCCCGCTTTGTATACAAAGCAACCGACCGAATCATACAGGGATAGGTGCTGGGGCGAAAGCAGCACAGTCACGCCCAAAAGAAACAACAGAGAAAGAGCAAAAGAAACAAATGCCAACAACGGCGGATCAACAAAAACGAAGAAGCCTCGCAATCGCTGGGCCCACCGGGCTCATCCACTAGGCTCCAAGACTCCGAAGCGCCGGCACCAATCAACACCTCCAAGAAGGATCGCGACGATGACGACCCTGCTGCCAAGGGTTTCCCCCGGTACACGATGAGGCGAGAGGAAGGGTAGCCCCCGACGCCCTCCCGGAAGGTCAGGTGGCACCCACAGGCACCACCGCGCCGGAGTCGGCCACGCCGACAGGGGTTTCCCCCGATCCAAACCCGCACCTCGGGCGCTCCGGATCCCGCCACCAAACCAACCACCACTTTGAGATTGTGCAACTATGAGATTGTGCAACTCCCGTTTACCGGAAGAACACTTTGTGTGCTACCAAACGTCACAATGTAACTGGGTGATTATAAAGATGCTCTACAGGTGTTTCCGAAGGTACATGTTGAGTTGGCATAATTTGAGATTAGGATTTGTCACTCCGATTGTCGGAGAGGTATCTCTGGGCCCTCTCGGTAATACTCATCACCTAAGCCTTGCAAGCATGTAACTAATGAGTTAGTTATGAGATGATGTATTACGGAACGAGTAAAGAGACTTGCCGGTAACGACATTGAACTAGGTATTGGATACCGACGATCAAATCTCGGGCAAGCAACATACCGATGACAAAGGGAACAAAGTATGTTGTTATGCGGTTTGACCGATAAAGATCTTCGTAGAATATGTAGGAACCAATATGGGAATCCAGGTCCCGCTATTGGTTATTGACCGAGAATGGTTTTAGGTCATGTCTACATAGTTCTCGAACCCGTAGGGTCCGCACGCTTAACGTTTCGATGACAGTTTTATTATGAGTTTATAAGTTTTGATGTACCGAAGTTTGTTCGGAGTCCCGGATGTGATCACGGACATGACGAGGAGTCTCGAAATGGTCGAGACATAAAGATTGATATATTGGACGACTATATTCGGACATCGGAAAGGTTCTGGGTGATTTCGGAGAAAACCGGAGTGCCGGGGGGGGGGGGG